TTCCCTTCTCTTGTCTTGGCGCAACTTAAAACACAGTGGGCCCACATAAATGCACGGCACGCCACACGTCACCAGCGCTGTCGTTGCTGAATTTAACTTAGAGCAATAAAAGTCGCGTGTGTGCAACCTTTCCTTAAGTTCTTCTATAAGGTTTATTTGTCGATAACAGAGATTTATATAATTACCTTTGAGACTTCTAGAACAGAGATTTATATAAATACATTGTAGACTACTACTACTACTAATTCTATAACTCCAGCGCATATTATAACTTCGATCAAGAGTATATAAGTATTACAAGAAACACACGCTTGTATATTACCATATGAATAGACGCGTAAACTCATTGTGTTAAAACTTGTTAATTTTACCCTATTGTTCTAAATAAACCAATCCAATTGCTTGAAACTAACTGGTATGATATTTCGATCCTTCGAAGTGTATAAAACACACTGGCATGCGAAGAATGTTCATTTCAATCATACGATTACGACACACTCTACTACTCATAACGAATTATCTCGGAAACCTTTATCTCGGAATACTATTAATGTCAGGATGGCTACTGCGCAGATTTTAAACTGTATTGTTTGTCACGAACTGGTATGGCCTCGGCAGCAAGCGGTTCAGTGCGATGGATGTTTTTGCTGGAACCATCAAATGTGTAACACTGGTAAGTTATATTTACTTATATATACTCTGATACTCTAAAAAGTAGAGACCTGGGCCAGGATTATAAGTTGATGGAGGATCTAATTTCTCTTTTATACAACTGTTGTTGCTTATCTTACACCTAACAGAAGACATCTAAAAGTAAAAAAAAACTCATTACGCTGACCAAAACTGAACCGTGACCAATGTTATTTAGTTTCTTATATCATCTGACAGTGAACTTACTTAAAATGAACTTACTTAAAATCCGTGCATTTTGTAAATAGGTTTTCCACTAAAATATTTTGCACTTGTAAATATTTATAAAAGTACGTATTGTTATTAAAATGTTGTTGATATTATACATGTTATATTTTATTTCTGACTCGTTTTGAAGGCTGGAAAACAAACTCTGATTGTTTCTGAAAAATGTTAACTCGTTAATTCACATCGTAACGCATTTTTCAAGTAAAATTTTGAGTCATACATTTTTGGAACACATTTGGAAGCCATCTGAGTTTGTTATTCAACAGTTTTAAATTACCGCGATGTTAGTGCTCAAACGCCGGCTTTTGCTGGATCTGTCAAAAATATGCAAATTGTTTGGAAGTCAGCCAAGCGAAACTAGCATTAACTTAAAATTGTTCTGACCCAAGTATCAGCATTACATCCGAAGTATCAGTAAGCACCCTTTTTACTAAGTTATTACTAAGTTATTACTAGACATTTGGCGTTGGCGAAGTGACCAGTAGGACGTTGGCCAAGCGATTCATCGCGTTGGCGAAGCAAACAAGGACGTTGGCGAACGTGACGTTGGCGAAATCACTCGTTGGCGAAATCACCGCAATTCGAAGATCAAACCAAGGAATTCGAAAGAAAACGGGTTTACCAAGCATTTGTAGCACTTCAAAACGAAAATCAATGTAATTGAGAAAAATACTGGGTGTATAAACTCACCAAATACTGCAAGAACATGTCCCTGAAACAACATGGGTCTCTTTGTCGCTGGATCTGTTCCTTGCAGTGAACATTCATCTCCTTCTCTCACATTGAAGGGATCACGAACGATGATCTTCGAGGAACTCTGCGCCTCCACTCCCCACGATCCCCAGTCAACAACAACGTACCTGTGCTTTGGCATTTTCGGAAATCAAAACTAAACAGAACTCAGCTGAACAGGACGAAACTGAAAGTTAAAACGGACGCCAAGGACGATCACGGTAAAACACGTGGAGATATGAATGTCGCACCGCGAACAGACGCTTCCAAATTCAAATCTGGTGGGACTTTTGCTTTGATCGTATTGAAAAGCTGTGGTCACTTCAAAGTCGGCGAGAAATATCACAATCTGGCATGGGTCGAAAATAAACACGTGTGAAATTCTTCAGGGGCAAGGTTTGCCAGATGGTTATTCTTCTTGTTCGCTTCGCGCCCATTCTGTCCAAGCATCACTCTTTCTTGCAAAGTTAATAAAAAAAATTCGTAACAAAGTCCTCCGCTACAAAGTAAAGGATTCCCTGGACACACTTCGCATTTTTTGTGAAGCAAGCGGCCGGTGCAACTACAACTGCCGATCCGCCATGTTTGTTTACCAAATGCCGACGAATTTCACCGCTGACCAGTTGATCGCTGCAACGACGGCTCTTACGTACGGGATCGCTGTGGACTGTATCCTTGAGGGAAATCATTTACCTTTCTGGCAACCCAAACGATTGGTGTGTTGCTAGGGCTCCGAATTGCTGTGATCATTGTCGATAAAGTTGTTTGTAATGAACAAAAAAGTGAGTAATTTACTTATTTATCATTGTACTTGTAGTGTTAAGTATCTCTCTGCAAAGTTGGCTCTTCATAATGTGAGGCCTGACAAAAGCAACCATTCTCAAGGTGTCAATGGTAGTCACAATGTGACTTTCAATTGTTCATTCTGAAGAAAAATTTTACTAAACACAAACAGGAAGATAACAGAAACAATCTATTATAGCTGTGTCTTGTATTTTCATTAGTGTAAATGCCCTTATGCAAATTTCTTATTCAAAACTCTGCGGTGAACAGAATTTGTCGGAGTTCTTAATTGATTAGAGAAACTTGTTTAAAACCAACAATGTTAGTCATTGATTAGATGACTGTATAATCAGACAAATCTGCTAATATATATTGAATAGTAACTTTGCATTATGAAAAAAATCAGCATGTTGAGAATCCATTTTTCAATGACAGGTGACTTATAACTGTACATCAAGTGTACCTGCCCAAAACTGATTAATCTAATTACTCAGGGTTTCCAGAAACATTACTGTAAATATCAAATCACTGATCACCACTACTAACAAAAAAGAAAAGATCCCACTGATCTTGAAAAGGTAGATCTAGAATTAAAAAAAAAAAAAAAGAGTCAATGATAGTTGTGTAAAGTTTTACTACTTTGAATCTATTATGTATGGCAAGCTGTAAGGTAAAGTACATCTTTTCATTTTCTTATTCAAGACTTTAAGATAAAATGAAACTGACTAAGCTGACAATTTCTCTCAGTTTTGCTAAATGTAAATTAGTTGTTAACTATTTCTAGCTTATTCCAGTTTCCTGCAAGAAATATAGACTGGAAAAAGCTATCAATTTCTGGCAGCAGCTAATGCATGCGTTAAATTCCAGCTATTTCCAGCTTTTGAAAGAACTTAAAACTTGGAAAATGTTTTCTTGAAAGAAGCTAGAATGGGATTCTGGAATAAAGCTGTCATATTCTAGAAATTTTGAGAAACTTTCAGAAGTTATCAGAAAGCTTCACATCGTTCTTATAGCTACTTAGTTGTAGTCTGCTCATACAGTGTATGTCAAACATAGTATAGTCTAATGGTGGGAAATGCGAGTTGTGCTTGGCCTGTCTCAGATTTTCTGCCCTATTTTCTTTTAGAGCTTTTTGAGGACAGGTTTTTCTGGCCACTCTGGCACGCTTGCAAATTATTTTGTCAATTCTTTATTTCAATTTGGTAATGCTTTTTTTAACGGGAGTTTGGGTGTACATGTCTTTAAAGTTTGCTCATTGACTCCTGATGCGTCGGAACCAGAGCAAGCCAAGATAACATAAGATGCATACCTTTATTATTTGTAAGCACTATGTTTTGAGTTTGCAACTGTTGTACTGGACAATGCTCTGGCATAATTTTAAATGGGCTTGCATCTTAAAGTGTTCAAGGCATAGTCTCTGACCTGGTGATGGAATATTTTTAATTTTAGAGAAAAGGTACAGGTAAAATAGAACTAAATGAATGTTATGTAGTAATTTTAGGTTTTGTTTTTAAGTTAATGACAAAATCGGGAAAGGAATTAGTCAACAGAATTCTTGAAGCAAAAGTCAACTCGCATACAAATAAACCAACTCCTCAAAGTAGCAGTTACTGTTTGTTGTTTTAAATATTAATTCCTAATTTTTTTTAGTTTATAACATTTTTTGAAAAACAATTATCACATGATTTTTGTTGAAGGGGTGAAAGAGAGACTTGGATGATGATTAAAATATGTACAACAAAAGTTTGTTTCCCTGGAAACCTTTCTAAAAAACTGTCAAACTTTGGACAAAGAGATCATTAGAAATCTTGCAAGATTGAAAGTTCACCATGAGGAAAGGCGCACACATTTGGCCTTTGAGAGAACAGACTCTGAAAAAGTAAACTTTTCCAAAGGAAACTTTCCATGAAGTCAAAGTCAAAGATGGACAACTGAATGAGTGCCCCTGCTGAAATACTCTCACAGATGTAGCAAGTGAAGACTCTGAAATGTTAGAACATGTTGCTTCAAGTTTTCTCAGTGATGAGACTGCTAGCAGTGACTCACATGATGAGGACAGACCAGGAACTAGTGCACCATCAACATCATAGAGATAGAGGTGACGAGCAGCCTCCATCAGAGTAGCTATGTCTTCTGACAAGGGTAGAGATAGGGGAGATTCATTTGATTCAACCAGAAGTGAAGATGGTCTGACTCACGAGGCAACCATTTGTGAAGGAGCGCAGAATAATGGGGATGGTGACCTGGAGAAAAGACTGAAGGAGGACAAGGAGAAAGCAATTGCTGTGTTGAAAAGAGTTCATCCCAGTAGGGTATGCACCTTAAATTACCAAATAAAGAGGTCTGCACTATCTATTTATTTATTTGTTATATCATATGCTGTTTTGTAATGTCCTGAGAGTTATTAAGTTGATACTTAGTGGTGATTATTCACCCTTTACACTCAAACATCAGCATGCATATTCTCCATACTGTTCTCTATACATTTAGTGACATGATGACAAGGAGAATTTGTTTAACAATTCAGTGCCTCTTTAGTTGGTGATCATGTCCTTTATTCTTGTGATCTTAATATGTGATTCATGGGTGATACTGTAAGAAAAAAGTAGATGCTAGTCACTCTCAGGGGTCAACAGTTTAATGGTACATGACATTGCTTGTGGCTTGTTTTAATTGTGGGTTTTTGTTGCAGTTACTTTTCAAAGCAGCAGAATGGAAGAGTCTTCCTCTTATGGCTGCATCACTTGCAGAAGGTAGACAAGAACATGCTGCACTTATTGTTTATTTAATGGCTGCACATACATTTCTGGAAAGTGATACTTACAGTAATCACACAAACTGTGTGTAACTTTCCACTTTCCTCAAAAATGTACAAGTCATGAAAGTGTTTATGGAAAATTTTCAGGTGCCAAAGTGAACTGGGTAAATGAGGAAGATGGACAAAAAACAGCACTTCACCAGTCTGTCTTAGGGGTAGGTTTGACTCTTTCTGTTGACGGTGTTCTGCTATGCTGAGTACTTGCAATTCCTTCATGGAAGGGTCATCATGTAATGAAATTATTATTTTTCTTCCTCAAGGGATCATTACCAGCTTGTGAGTTCTTTTTACAAAATGGAGCTAAAATAAACCAGAAAGACAAGAGGGGAAGAGGTGCACTTCATCATGCAGCACTTCTTGGGCAGACAGGGTGAGTTGATCAAAAATAACATTCTATTAAAACCGTTTTCTCTCTTACCATCACTGTTTTCTGCAGTCATTGTGAGTGTATTGAGAACCTTGTTTGTGTCTGTAAGGCAAAGAATTTTACTTCTTTTTCTTTCTTGCTTCAAGTTGTTATTATCAGTATATGAATATTGATAAGGTTAAGACTTACAACCACATGTTTCAGTAAAAGTTCCATAACTGTGTGTATTTAAACCTAGTTCCTGTAGGCTTCTCTCACCTAGAATATTGGAAAACACAATCATTTGTGGCCTGTGACTATTTTGTTAGAACAATTTTTGTTCTGACCTTCACTATTTCCTGCAGTCTTTGTGAGTCTATTAAGAACCTTGCTTGTTTCTGTAAGGCAAAGCATTTTATTTCTTTTTCTTTCTTGCTTCAAGTTGTTATTATCAATACATATGAATATTGGTAAGTTTAAGACTTACAACCACATGTTCCAGTAAAAGTTCCATAACTGTGTGTACTTAAACCTAGTTCCTGTAGCTCTTAGCAACCAGTTCTTTCTGTAGAATAGTGTCTATCTCTAGAACACAATACAGTGGTGTGGCCAGGGCTTAAAACAGTTCACCCAGCTGTGGCATCATCTGTCATCACTTATATTAATACTGCTCCTTTATTTTCAGTCCTATCCTCTTGTTCCTGAAGCGAGGAGGTAACCAGCATGATGTTGATGAGAATGGAAAAGTGAGTGTGAACATAATGTAGTGATGCATGAAAAAAGCCCTTGGAGACAAGTTCCCGCATGAACTGCCAGTCTTTCCTTCCAAATTAATCTGTGTTCCCCTGGAAAACAGAGGAAGCAGTAGATGTTGCATGAAAGGTCACAAGTGGCGGTAAAAACAGTGCTCATGAAAGTTTCTGGATCAATTTCTTTTGTTAATTTCAGGACCCTCTTACAATTGCACTAAAACAAACAAATGCAGATATTGTTATTCTGTAAGTATACAAATGCAATATAACAGTGGATATTGCCTGATTATGATTCTGTCCTTGTTTAGGAATTGGATTCTTTCTTTTTATTTATCCTTCAAGAGTTGAATGAAAGAATCTTGATAAAAAATTGGAATACGGAATTCTAGAAAACACACAGCAGTCTTTAGTCATTGTCTTGATTTTGTGAAAGAATCCTTCATTGTTAGGAATTGAATCCCAAAAAATTTTATATCTACAGTCTTTGTTTTTGGATGTCAGGTTAAAGAATCATTTTGGTATCTATAACGGTAAACATATAGCTGCTTTTGGTCCATTTCTAACTTGTCAACATTTACCAGACGGTGAAAAATGAAATTGTTTATAGGTTGAGACTGAATGAAGAAATGAGAGAAGATAATGAGATTGCCCAGGGTAAGATCTTTTTAAGAGTGCTCCATCTATTTTTTTCCGATTTGTTTTGTTTGTTGTTGTTGTTGTTGTTGTTGTTGTTTTAATTATCAGTGAATTTAAGGAGTGGTAAGCAATGTAATCTAACCACTGTATTGTCCATCATGTTTGTCTACAATGAAAGTCCACTATCCCTGGATATTTCTGGGCAAGCAGTATGATGAAAAATATTATGATATCATAAATCAAATGCACTCTACTTATCCATGATTATAAGTAGTTGCAGAGGGAAATTACTCATTAATCACTCCAAAGGGTGTAAAGGTGAACCCTTTACACCCCAGCATCATTATGCATATTCTCCATACTGTTCTCTATACATTTCCAAGGGTCTAACAAGGAGAATTTGTTAAACCATGAAGAGCTTTGTTAGTTGTTGATCATTTCCTTCATTCTCGTGACTTGATCATTTGATATAAGGGATAGATTGTAAAGAGAAATCAGAACCTTGTCACTGTCATGGATTAAAGGACTAACTGCTGTCATTTTTTTTGTTTCAGGTGATGTTACGTTCAATGATGTGTTCAGAGATTTTTCTAATATGGCATCCAGAGATCCTGACAGGCTTAAACGCAATTTTGATTCAAGTAGACCAAGTAGACAGACACAACTGTGATAACAAAATCACTTTGTTCCACCTTAACAAATATTTGAGGTCACTTCACATCAAAATGTTTCATTCCTCAAAAATAAGCAAACAAATTCTCATTTCATCGAAGAAACCAATTTGAATATTCACTCTAGATTTAATCTTACCACAAACACAAAAGGAGTAAAACATTATTTCCAATTTATGTTTAGTTTTGTAGTAATTTGCATCAATCAGGAATTAATGTTCACACTGACAATATTACTAACTGTCATGTAATGTAAGAAAACTGAACTGTACAATTAACATATTTTTTATTCATAAGGAATTTAAAATTATCCCCATGATAATAACAGCATCGTTTAGAACAGAGAATAGAATCTTGCACTGAATAACTTAAGGAAAGAAAACATATCAGTAAATCATTGTTAAAAAAAATAATGAAATTTGTAAATAAAATTTCCCCTATGACAACTGAATGGAAGGAAGGACATCAATGTTTAATGAAGAGTTGACTGTATGAATACTATGGTCAAAAAGTCAAAGTTAAACATGATGATATTAATATTACAATGCTCAGTTATGAAAAATTGTACAGACTAGCTAGTATTGAATCATTATTTAGTTGATTTTGACCAGACTAAGTGGTATCCTCCATTAGATTGATATTGATTTAAAGAAATAAAAACAGAGTGGTCTCTGCCTTTTTGTTTGAAGTCCCATCAACTAATTTTTGTCATTTTGAATGGTGAAATGTTGAGGTTTGATATATCCTATCATTTATGTTTACCTTTTTACACCCTAACATCAGTATACATATTCTCCAAACTTTTTGCCATACATTTCCTGAGGGGCTGGTAAGGAGAATTTGTTTAACAAACAAGAGCTGATTTATTTGGTGATAATTCCCTGTATTCTTGTGACCTCAATGTTTGATTCAGGTGTGATATTGTGAGGAGAAATTAGATCCTAGTCACTTTCAGGTGGGGTATTGGGATTTTCGGTTTTGCGGTTTTGGCTATTTTTAAGATTGGCTTTTCAATCTTTGTGCCAGAAAACTTCGGTTTTTCCTATTTGGGTCCCGTTTCTCTGCGATCTGAGCGGCAATTATGCGTCTCCACTGATCTCGAATAGCCCCAAAAAGCTCTGTATGCTCCACTTGTCACCACTGCATCAGATCGATCAGGGTTTTGATCACTAGGATGTTGAAATTTTTAAGACTGTTTTGCATGCGGTTTTCGGTTTTGATCCAATTTTTTTGCGGTTGTGTGGTTTTGGATGATTGCGGCTGCTAATAGACCCCGATGTCCCCCTTCCTCAGCGGTTTAACAGGTTTAAGGGCGTGCATGTCAACTTTTAAAAATGCCTCCCAAATATTTTAATTACGACCACTGTCAATTTGTCTCTTAGTCTGATTAGCAAATCAAAAGGTCCGCTTCAGGTTTCATTTATTCTCCTCTTTCGAAGAAGCCAAAATAAAACTCAAAGGAAGCAAAGATAAAAACTTTCGAAGTTGTAGTTGACGCAAATAAAGCATTTTAGAGACTTCAGAGAAAAACAAGGTGCCAAGTAGAAAAAAAAAGCACTTCCAAAACTGTTTTGTTTTGTTTTTCATTTCAAACTGTGGTAATGTGGTTTGTTTATAACACCAAATGCTTAGCTCTATTAATTATGAATGCAGACAAAACTTGGGATCTAATACTTTTATTTCAATTATTTTAATTTGAAAACAAATCTCCCTGAAAACATACTCCACCTTTCACATTCTTGTCAGAAACAAACCTAAATAAAACTACGAGGATTGCCAACTGTCCATATCATTTTATAATATAGCATCTTTCAGGCTCTAGCGCAGCTCCCCAAGCCCCAACCATTTTGGTCGCCATTGCGAGAGAACATTTGGCGACTGAAATTTCGACAAGTCGCCAATTGGCAACAAACAGGAGAACATGTTGAAAATTTGTCCAACGAAAAACAAAACGTAATCTTTCGATTTCTTTACGTTGATTCAAATCAGTCAAATGTAAACTTAGCAGCATCATAACGTTGAAACGGTTAGATTGAAGTCGTTAAATTTTTCCCAACAGTGGCGCGTTATCGCGAAAAAGAAAATCTTGAAGTTGCGAGGATACCGCTCGAGGAGTTTCCGATACAGTCCCTAAAAATTGTTTAATAACATTAGCATAATAATAGCGATTGCCAAGTCACGCACACTATTTCAATCCTTTAGTCAACAAGTGTGAAATTGGTTCAACCTCAGCGAGGAGACCGAAGAGGGAGTGTTGGTTTTTGAACGCTTCCAATACAGTCAGTAGGTGTTTCGGAAACTGTTTTCAGCCACCTTAAACTAAAAAAAAATTTAAGGAAAATGCTGTTTTTATTAAAAGAATTACTCGATACGCGTTAATATTCCGATTTGTAAGACCGACGTGTATAGCGATACTGTTAACTTCAATAAATGAGATCTACGGTATTTTGGCTTGTGGGTGGTACACATTATTGGTGTTTAAATTCGCCTTTTTCGCAACTGTAGAAAAAAGGTTAAATCATTGTCCAGCGGATGAAAATTCTCGCGAAATTTAATTCCCTATAGGACATTCAAATAACAGAAAAAATGATCTGAAATGTGAAAAAAAAAAACTTATACAAGATGTGTATCGGCAAATACACAAATTTTATTAACTGGTCTTACTGGTAATTCAGTTTATTTTGTACCTTCTGTTGTGAAGTGTTGTCTTTAATTTGCAAAGGTTTTCGCATATGGAGTAGAGATTCTCGCTATCATCTTCATCTGAATGGGCTAGATTGGTCAAACTCCTTCGAATATCTTTCGTCCAGTCGTCAAAAGTTACGAAATTTTGGAAACTAAAATGAATTTGAAACGCTTGAATCACGAATTTTAATTGCCTTCTTTTGTATTTGCCGGCCTTGTTTTGAGATCGCAAAAATATAACCTCGCAAAATACCGTCTCACCAAAATCATAAAAGTTCTCGCCACATAAAGTACCACTGAGTAAGGTAGAAGAACCGATCTTCTCAGATAAGTTGCAGTTGAAGTGATTGCCAAAAAGAAGCCTGAAATCCTGAGAAGGTTCAAAATCGGAGGGGTTTCAAGCCCGTGCCTTCCGAGACTATAACTAAGCTGCGTAGCCGCATGAAGGAAGAGGGAACGGCCAAATTTAAGTAGGTCCTCAGGTTAGATGGTCCGACGGTGCTCAATTAGTATCTGGGAGGAGCGGGTCCGAATCCCGTCGAAGCCTGAATTTTTTCACAACCTACTATTCTGCAACTGCATCGTTTCTTCACTCTAAGTGCTTATTCTTATCCCTTAACTTTCGCAAAAAAAATGAAACCAAAAAAACCAACAAACAAATAAATGACGGGGAACTCTGCATCAATGTAAATCTCTAAAAAGCAGTACAATAGAGAACCTTAGACGCTGGAAATGATCCGTGGTTTCATTTTCATACGGGAATGTCTCCTATGTCTTCACTTTTGTATCACAGTTGGCAGTCGCACAAGTCAATCGTTCTTGAAAACTGGTGAGAAAAATGAAAGTCGAACAACCAAGGCGTGATTAGAGGCGCTCGTAACTAGTCAGAAAATTACTTTGGCTTAGGTAGAGGGGGAAGGTGAAGGAGATTGTGCAGCGACGAGTCACATCTTTTCTGGTTACACTACTAAGCGTGCAACTTGCCTCAGAAAGCAAAAGCCTTCGCCATACTTGTCATTGTCTTTTTAAAGCCTCTATCAAAATAATTTCTGATTAATGACACTTTTAGCACGTGTCCATTTCAGTTTCTGAAAGAAGTCTACAAATGCGTGCAGTAACAAAAACGGCGAAAATTCGTCAAAATCGCTCTGACGAATTTGACTACAATTCGTCAAAATCGCCAAATCCATGAACAACCACTCGGTTTCACAAAGTTTCGTCAAATCTGCCATTTCGGTCACCGCGTGCATTTCTGCACTTAATTAGAGATATGTTGAGGGATTTTACTCTCTCCGTTTCCCATATCAGCTTCCTGAGTAGTCGAGAAAAGATGGCGGGCGAAAACAAACCATTGGCTAGATGACAGCTGTAACTTTGCCAAGAATTAAAATTGTAGCTCTTCCCATAGAGAGAAACTGTGAAATCTGTAGCAACGACTGACCGGAAGTCACCATACTTTCATTATTTCAACTTACGACATAATGCGATTTTCATCTGATTGAAAACAGTGAGAATACAAACGCTAACAATGGATAATCTCAAGGAATTACTTAAACCAAAAACGTTTAACACAGTTAGCCACGCTGCAGTTGTTATTTGGATCCTGATCGGTGTAATCTTCCTTGGCATTTTTGCAGACGCGGAAAACAGCGAATCCAGGTATGATTTCCGCTGTGGCGGGGCGAAGAGTGAAAACATCGACCTTGTCCGTGGAAGATGTTTCGAGTTATACGAGAAGCGGTATAACAAACACGATGTTCCTATCTATGCCTTCGTGATCATGAATTTCTTCCTCATCGGAACGGTCTGTGCTATTTACTCCCAAATAGCGAGCCTCACAATCAATCAACTGTCGCCAAACGCTCGTAACGGTGATCTCGAGGGGCAGTTGCGCGACCAAGGAAACGCACTTTCTAGTAAAAAGCTGTTTATCGCTTACTGCTGCCAACTTTTCGCAAGGATTGTTTTAGGAGTTCTCTTCATGGTTCTACAAAAACAGTTTCTCTATCCTCTGGACTTCCCCCCCAACTTCTCTTGTTATCTAACCTCTGGAGGGATTCAGCCAAGAAATTTTACTGGCGTCTGGCACGATTGTCATAATCAACGAGCAACTAAGAAAAACTCCTGGATGCGCGCTGTTCTTGTCGTGAACGGAATTTTTCTCTTTGGCATTCTGTTAGAAACCGCCTATATTTTGCTACGAGCCTGGAAAGAGGATAGTTTCATGAAAAATTCCAAGTTTTTAAAGGCTCACCTGAATCCCTTCCATGCCGACTCGCAAAATGCTACCACATCGACTCAGTTGAGACCTGAACCTCCGCAGCAAGAAGAAAGAACAGAGCAAGAAACGAACGTCCCACAAGAACTGCACCAGGAAGAGGAAAGTAAAGAACATGAAACGAACATCCCACATCTGCCAAGCAAGCCTCAACAACTTCAGAAACCACCGCTTCAGAAATTCATCGAGGATACAAAAGAAATTATTAAAGAGGAGACCAATCAAACTCCCCAACTCCGGTCGCCTTTTTCAAGTACTCCAGGCGAAGGACACCGAGTTAAACATTTGACTCTGGATCAGATTTACACTAAACTTGTCGTTGTTCCAGACATGGCTAATTATGACTTTACTGGAGACAGACTAGAGAAACTAAAAGTCTACACCAGATCGGGTGGGGAAAACACAACACCAAGAGGGCCGGAGGACATTCTTAACCACGAAAACAAAAACGTTTTGATTGTTGGTCGTCCCGGAATCGGAAAGACACTATGCTGTACCAAACTCCTCAGAGACTGGGCATTTAACAAAGTATTCCATGAATCACCTGATTCCAAAATCCATTTTGATGCTCCTTTCTTCATCAAATTCAGAGCATTCAACGCGGCAAACGACCTTAGCCTCCGGGAACTGCTCTCATCATCAGAACATTCCCCTTCACATCCCATGGATGATGAAGTCTGGAAATACGTCCTCGATAACCCCCAAAGAGTTCTCATTATTTTCGATGGAATCGATGAATTTAAACATAATTCAAAAATCGGCGAGGAAAATTTCGAGCCTAAATTCAGAAACCGCGCAGACGAGAAGATGCCCCTGTACGCCTTGTACGAGAAGCTTGCGACTGGGAAACTTCTCAACGGGGCTGCCGTTTTAACAACCACAAGACCCACGGCTTTGTCATGCATCGAATGTGTTTCTTTCGATAAAATCTTCGAGGTCCTCGGCTTCTCGTCCGAACAAGTCAAAGAATACGTAACCAAATTCAGTTCTGAAGAGGACAAGGATGCGGGAGAAACACTATGGCGACACATCGGCGGCAACAGGAACATTCTCTCTCTATGCTACATTCCTGCGAGTTGCTTCATCATTTGCACAACTCTGTTACAAATGGTGAAGTTCTATGGTTCCAAGAGTCTTAGCCTACCAAGGAATCTAACGGTTATTTACAAGAAAGCAGTGAAAATTTTTTACTTCAGACACAACGAAGAATTCCGCGGCAAGTATTTCGCTAGCAAATTCTTGGAATCAGACAAGTTACCCCCTGAAGTGGAAAAGAAATTCTCGAAACTTGAAAAAATGGCATTTGAAGGAATTAGAGAAGGAAGGCTGGTCTTTGAAGGACACGAAGTACGGGGAATGGAAGACAACGCTCTTTTTCACCGCTTACCCGACCGTCGGCCTGACACGTTTGAACGCGAGGAACAATTCTGTTTCATTCATTTAACAATGCAAGAGTTTTTCGCTGCGAGGCACCTAGCAAACATGGATGAAACAGAACTGAGGAACTTTGTTTCTACGAACATCGCGGACGGCAAATGGCAGCTGGTTTTTCAGTTTCTAGCAGGACTAATGAACGAGAAAGAAAACCTACCGAGCGAAATCATCACAGACCTTCTTCCTGTGGAAACTGAAGAGAAAAAACACGAGTTCTACAACGAAGAGTGGACAGAGGATATGGGGCCAAGGAAAGTAACTTGTTGGCCGACTAGAGACAAAAAACATTTAGCAGTGACATTATTTAAATGCATTAACGAAAGTAGTGAGATGGAGGAAATAGTTCAGAGAAAACTACAACAAATTAACTTTAATTTTGTAAATTTTAATGATTGTCAACTCACACCTGTTGATTGTGCTTCAGTAGTGTTGTTCAGTAGTAATGTTCAACAAATTGCACATTTAGATTTGGCCGACAATAACTTTGGTCCATTAGGTTGTTTTGAAATTTGTAAGTTGTTAAAATGTAGTAAATCTCAACTGAGCTGGTTAAACCTCGAAAGAAATCAATTGACAGACGAAGGAGCAAAGTATTTAGCTGACGCCATCAACAACAACAACTGTCAGCTACGCACGTTAGTCCTCTCAGCAAATAACATCTCACACATTGGAGCACAGCACTTGGCTGAAGCCATCAACAACAACAACTGTCAGCTACGCACGTTAGACCTCTCAGCAAATAACATCTCAGACATTGGAGCACAGCACTTGGCTGAAGCCATCAACAACAACAACTGTCAGCTACGCACGTTAGACCTCTACAGAAATAACATCTCAGACATTGGAGCACAGCACTTGGCTGAAGCCATCAACAACAACAACTGTCAGCTACGCACGTTAGACCTCTCAGCAAATAACATCTCAGACATTGGAGCACAGCACTTGGCTGAAGCCATCAACAACAACAACTGTCAGCTACGCACGTTAAACCTCTTAGCAAATAACATCACAGAAGCAGGTAAACAACACGCAAAGAATTTACTTAGCAATAGTCAGTCTAACTGTCGCCTTATTATCTAACATCGCCAATTCACAAATAATTGCTTAATGTGGAAAAAAAGAAGTTAAATAATCACTTACAATTCAAAATGTGAGGTAACCAGCTCAGTGACAATTACAACACAACCACTAAAATCGTGAATGAAAGAAAGAAAACAAAGTTTGTGAAGCGCTCAGAGCAGAGAGATTATTTGAACCGGATCGAAATGAAGAAAAATGAACCAATGAACATGTTTATTGAGAACAAAGGATGTCAAAGTGTCTTTTTTTGTAAACGAACCAATTAACATTGAAGTTAAAACACAAAACTTACTGCATAGAAAACAAACAAACCTCGGACCTCTCAGGAAACTTTATCATTTTATGATTGGTTTATTTCGATCCTAAATTTACTGTATGCTTTTGTATGATTTAATCATTTATGTCTGTCACATGAAATAGTTTTCTGTTTAGTTTATCGAAGTTCTTTTAGAGATTATAGGCGGATCAGATGAGTAAATACGATACAGATCGCTTCCTAGGGTTGTTTTTTTTTTCTGTTTGTTTTTCTTTTCGATCAAAGCGATCCGGTTCGAGTAGTTTCATACTGTCTGCTGATGAAATTGTAAACAAATTGTAAACAAGGAAACCCATTACTTTTCAAAGACAAAAGACTTTATTGTAGGTTAGTGGTGTGGGACATTTATTACGTTCCCCATTTTTTTTAAGGTGTATGCAGTAGCTTTAAATATTGGAGTGTTTTTGCACATATTTTTTGCCTGTTACTATTATCATGATAAAATGAAAAACTCTGAAAGTTGAGATTTCACTGACTAGTATTTGTAGATAAAAGCAGAACTCCTAAGTTTATCAGATGATTGTTGAATAAATCATGTAAGCAGATTTACTCTTTGTGTTGCTGTCAATTCGGCCCCTATGGTTAGACATATCAGACAGAGTAAAGAGCTTTACAATAAGTTTCGAAACAAAAAAATAATTGGACAAAGGAAGGCAATGAGGGTGGGGTGGGGGAAGGGGGGGGTTGGTAAAGCCTTCTCAATATCACACGAAACTATAAATAATTTATCTGAGAAACATGATCAGCTAAAATAGAGGCTTTTTCCAGTAGTGCCTTCTCTTCAGCAGAGAGAGCACCCTTCTTAAAATCAACTATTGCCCTACCTTAGGTTGAAATACAAAATTATTCCAACCCTAATTTAAACCTAGACCAAAATTCCACACCCTGTCTTAAACCAGCAATAAAACATCTTTAAAAAATTAAATGAAAATAGCTTATTACCTCAAATAAATGCCCAACCAGATATTGAAAATTCTGGTTCAATTTTCATCATACACAATCATGTTTAGTTTTTCATAATATGCATGTTTAGTTTGGAGAATTCGGTATTGGATCAACTAATAATCCCCTCCCCTAGCTGATATTTTCTCGAATCCCATCACTTGTCTGCTTGATATTGTATTGATATTGTAAGGAGAAATTCTGTCTTGGTCACTCATGGGAGTGAAGGCTTAAAGGGTTAACACACAATGAAAAATTGCTTGACCCTATTTTTAATCAAGTTTCTTTCACAAGTTAACAAATATTCAATACCCTATTTACATGAACACGTGAATCTGTCAGCTACTGACAATTTTAATCTTTAGTATTCAAAACATTTATAACCATGATGCTTTCTGTTCTCTGAAGCTTATAACCCATTAACTTCCAAGGACTGATTGCTACTTCTCCCCTTCAGCTGCTATACATTTCATTGTAAATTAATTACAAGAATTTGAGGTTAGATCAAGATAAAAACTTGAAGGTATTCTCATTACCTTATGGATACAAAAAGGAGAAGCTACATGTTAATCACTTCAGGGAAGTAAAGGGTTAAGATGTGCACATCTGCAATTATTGTTAGGAGTTCTTTGTCTCAATATAAACAAATTGGGCTTTAACTTGGGGTAGAAGAGCAAAGAACATGTCATCACAATGGAATGTGCTGCACATCAAATTCATCACCTTAAAGAAAAATGTGTAAAAATATGTAATATGTCAATTAGCTTACTCACAAGCATATTAACTTGGTACATCTAGAAATATACAAATTAGTCTTTAACTTACATTTATCTCAGTAGTCTGGAAATGTGGAATTCTGGAAATACACCAATAATTCTTTAGCTTAGTTGGATGTATCTTAAGTTGATAGTCTAGAAATGTGAAAATCTGGAAATAGTACAAGGATATGGTTTTAACTTTGGTTCTGAAAAAATTCAATTTTCTTTGTAGCCCACTGTCTTGCTTCCTCTACTTCATTCAGTAAAGAAAAATCCTTAATCTATCAAACACCTTTGTTTTGCCCAATTTCCCAACAGAAACATGGGAGAAGAGAGAGACAAAAGTTCAAAGAGAGGGGGGGGGGGAATAGAGGACCAAGGGGGGAGGGGTATGGCAAAGGTTCCAAAGGTGACAATGAAAACAAAAATGTTGACCCTGGTAAAATGAAGATCAACTGAACCAATACAACTCAATAGAAAAGGGCTTAGAAATAACAATTACCTCAGCATATATGGTTTGCCCTTTTTCTTGATATCACTTAAATGGCACAATTCACAAGTTTTCTTTACCTCTTGTTTGAACCATGTCAACAGATATGATGCATACATGTGTTTTACTGAGCCTGAACCGTAGCACTGAGTTTTAGGGGCTTGTTCCCCTGAAGAGTGATAAATACAGCAAATGCTCTGACTCAGACAGATCAGAATTTCCTGAAAATTCACATTTCCTGAAAAAGAGTAAAGATTCATTTTTTAATGATTTTTGAGTTATTAGCAAAAATATTAAATATATGACCCTATGTTGGCATATCAAATGGTATTTATCTTGGATGGGCGCATTAGAGTATGTATCTTGCATAACCTGACTTCTGCATTAGGGTATGTATCTCACACTAATCAGATCACAGCAATGAGGTATGCTTGCACCAATCAAAGTGTCACAGTATTGTCCCTCATGCCAATCACATCATAAAATTAGGGTACTGTCATATGTTGCAATGGAATCAAACTAACATTGATAAACACCAAGAATAGCATTAACAAAGAATTATGAGCTCATCTACCCAGTGTAATAGTTAATTTCTTCTAAGAACTTCATTGCTATGACCTGTAGGAGGTTAGAAAGGTGATCAGGGAATTTTTTTCTACCATTTAGAAGTTAAAACATGTTTTGTGTAACACTCCTTCACTTACAATGCACATGCCATTGGCTCAAGGCCTTTCATGAAATTATCACTAGAACTTTTGTTTTGGAAGGGCTAGTGTTTTGTTGACTGGGATAAAAATTGTGCAAAGCATTTGCATAAAGCAGATTTGATCAATAATCTAGTTTTTGCCTTTTGATTGCTCTTTTTGCAAAAGCTGAAAAAATCACAAAGTTATATTTACTTTCTGTGTCAATTGTCATGTGGACTATATATTTATTTTTGCTTTTAAAAGTTCTCCATGCTTCTGTTAGTCATCTTGTGTTTAAAAGGTATTTTCCTGATACAATTACATGTTAACTTGTTGCTATGAACTAGACTTTCTCAGATAATTGCCATTTTCCAGTAAACAACCTAAATTTTACAAGATAATCCCACTCCACTGAAAAAATTTCACATGGAACTAAAAGCTACTTTGAGTCAATTTTCCATGCAGTTCTCATGTGCTAAGATATGATTTACCAATCAAATTCACTTTTAGCTGCCCAGGACTTCATCCCATCACATGTCAATTCCTTCTAGACAGCCTGCATCTTATCATGTATTCCACACAAATGGGGCAAAGTACAGATAGGCAATTACCAAATAAAGAGCCCATGTTGTTATGCTTTGAAATATGATACTTTTCTCACCACTTTTCTGCACTAATGTTGTTCATTTTTGCTAACAATTATTCAGACACCAGTGGCAATAGACCTTAAAATGTTTCTCTGAGTTATTTCTGATAAACTAGAAGGTTTTGTTTTTTTGCTCTCCATTTAACAATATCTTCATCAGAATTTTTCATAGGTAAATACTCTTTTTCTTTTACAAAAATGCAAAAATCAGTTGCTTAGTTTCCCATTTTGACCCACCCATCAAAAAAAAAAAATACTCTTGCATGCATAGCATGCCTATGTTTTAAGTATGCCCTTGTCAGTAACTAATATCAACAGTGAAAGAGTATTTTTGGACAAAAATAAGGGGTGTTTCAGCTCAGGGACAGTACTTGAAGTGTTACCAAGTGAATAATTTTGCCTTTCACTATCCCTACCATTCAATGGGAGGCCCGTCTGATAAATTAAGAATTAAAACACAACTATCATACCTCATGGCTGACAAAGATAAATGCTATAAAGTGGCAACTATGGTATTCTGTATTTCCTTTCTTCACATTTTCAATTTGTTTTTTGCTCATTTTTTATTCTTCTTTGGTATTTTTCTTTAAGGAAACAAAAAATCTTAAACCACTACCTACGGTTAAAATCAAGCAGGGGGTAAAATAGTATGCTAAATATTTAACTATCATAACAACACTCCTTAGTATGACACACTGTGCAGCAATTGGAATCATCATTTGCATGAATGTACTTCTGACACTATGGGGCACTATGGTAAGACTAAACTCTTAAAGATTCCCTGCCTTTCTGTAGACATACCACCAAGCATATCTATTTCCCAGAGAAAACTGGAAAACTGAAATACTCCTAAACTCCACCAACTTGGGGAGGAGGTTGGTTAGGAAGAGGAACAGGGGGCTGGTTTCACTTTGGTATTCACAGGTGACTCATAATTCTCAAAAACTGTCTCACAATCTCATTGGGAAATCATGAAAAGAATAATTTACAGGCCTGTTAACAGCTTCATCATCTGGAAAATTAGCCTAATGCTCTTTGAAAAGTCTAAAGCTACTAACTACAGGGGAAGCAGAACTAGGAGCAGCAGAAGATGAGGGAAACGTGGGGGGGGGGGGTGGGTCAAGAACTACACATTCAAACAAAACTATCATTCAAATGGAGTAAAATTATCACGTTCAACACGAACATACTGATCTACTGCGAAAAATAGAGTTAACTTAGATAATTCTTGTGGATATGCATTCAAAAATCAAGGTTGCTATGTTGAATTTGTACCAGATGAAAACATTTCACTCACTAAAAACTGCAGACTCTTCCTCCGGTAGCTCCTCGTCGTCAACACCTTCTCCTTCCCTTAAATAACAACATGACGATGTTTGCGTTCCACTTGTTCCTTGGAGTTAACTAATACAAAATAAAAGCCAGTCTATGACTTCACGTGCATCTGTTGTATAGTTAAGGGGAGCAAAACGCACAACTGTGAGAACGTTTGATGAGGCAGCTTTCACGTTCAAATCGATAACAATGTCAACATGCAGAGGTGAGACCCTGAAAAACATGATTCCGAAGAGCGATGGCCAGTGTCAGGGCTGAACCAAGACGAGTCACAAGAGATATGATTTAACGAGTGTCCCACGATAATTCGCCATTTTGAAACCGTGAGGGGCTTTGGGACGAAAATAACCACCAGCTGCTGGTACACTTCATGATACATACACCACATATTACAGTGGCCCATCATTATGGCGGAAAGAATGCGTTTTAATTTTATCACATTTTGTAAAAAGGAGCAAGTATATTTCTCGGCGCTGACATTCATTCTTCCGTAGCTCTTTTCTTTTGTTACAACGAGCATATCAGACTTTCCCGGAGAATCGTGATCGTGTGGTATTTTTGTATTTAATTTTTTTAATTCACACCGATCTATTTTCGATATTCCTTATTTTTTTTAGGAAGCCCAAAGTCACGAGGAGGATCCCCCAGCTATTGCTGGTCGTGCAAGAAAAAGAGATTCATTTTTTTGTAAGTTTTATATTTCACGTGTGGGAGCATGATTTTATTGTTCAGGTTGCAAGCTGTTGTATATGAGATTTTCATTTTCTATTTTCTTTCAGGTGGCGTTTGAGACAGACTCAAACAAGCGTAACCAGATGGATAGACGGTACATGAAGTCTATGCAAACAAAAGTATTTCAGTGTTTCCTTTTTTTTATTTTATATATATATATTTTATATTTATTTATTTATTTATTTATTTGAATTTCCCAATGTAATTTTAAAAAGACTTTAAATAGAAACTGTTTTTTAAGCTCATGATATCGGGGTTGAAATTGTTTGTATCTACATCCCTAACAATGCAGTACCTCAGGATTTTTTTTATTCTAAACTAGCCCTACCTTCCTTCCTTCCTTCCTTCCTTTCTGTCTGTCTGCTTGGCTTTTTTCCTCTCTTTTTTACTTTATTTCTCTCTTTTTGCTTTTAGATGCAAGAATGGTATGCTAGGACTAAGCTGTCAGCACTCTGCTTTGCATTTTGGAAAGGCCAGTTCTGGATTGCAACAGGTTTAATGCTCTGACAGTTTCAGGCACTGATTGATGTTATTTACAGCCCACAGTATATTTTAAGGTATGGAAGATATGGAACATTTTTCTGATTTCTCATTCACTTCTCTATACAAGTAATACTTATTTTAACTAGTTTAATTCATTAAATTCTGAGTGGATTTTAACATCATTTTGTTTTGCATCTGTTATAAGTACCCACCTTTCTGCTTCCAGATTTTAATTTACAGTAGAGTACAGTTTGAATGTTTATTTCCTATAGTGCAACAAGTTCAAGCTCAAGAAATGGCAGCTGATGATGACATACCACCAGAAGACCCTGTGCAATTTAGAGTGGTAGATCTGAGGAGAATGGTTGTTAGGGAAGTCAAAAAGGATGGTAAAGAAATTTAAGAAAGCAAACTGGATAAACGGTTCGTTTTTCACAAATGCAAACAGTTTTGGGGCTCATATACCTAAAAGGCTATAGAATTTGTCTATTCTAATCATGCAACCCACGATTTTGTTTCTTTAAAGTGCTAAATTGCATAGCAATGCAGTTGTTAACTGTAAAAATTTAAGCACCCACTGTCAATTTTCCTGTAGATTTGCAGAATTTATATCGTGTATTTTCATGTAGGGAGATCTAAGCCTGGATGGGAAAGGAAGCATGCAGACCAGTTTGGTGGCCTGAAGAAGTTGAGCTCACAAAGCAGCCAGCGACCACATCTGGACAACTTAATTTCAATAATGCATTTATACATAAATTGGAATCAACAACAGCACCCTCAAGAGGTTGACATCACAGTAGGTGGTTCTGCTCACAGTCCTGTGATTCCCATTCCTGTATCATCAACACCAGCTTCTGCTTTTATTTCGGATCCTCCCTCATCTGCCCCTGAAGTTTTTGCAAGCCCCATTTGCCCTCCTGCTCCTTCATCAACACCTGCTGTCACCACTTCCATTTCTGATCCTCCCTTTACTACTCCTGAAGGTCACGTTCAACCTTCTCTTCTATTTGAGGACATTGTTGAGAGGAAATTTGGGAGTGAATCAGTTTACTGTGGTAATATGTGGCAATCTGTACTGCAAACCTGCAGTAAACTGAATCAGATCCAAACATCAAAGATGCTGAGTATTCTAGGAAAACTGAATGAAGACGTAAGCTTCCTGTTATTAATTGAACTCCTTTTCATTCATTACTTTTTTGTGCATGTATGTGTCACAAACAAAAAAAACAAACATACT